TTTATTTATTTATTTATTTGCTCTTGCAGCATTGATATTGCAGAACTGGGGGTACACTCTATACAAGACAGCAAAAAGGAAAAAAAATACAGGCAGCGCAAAAACGTGATTGGATGCTTTCCTCACCCCTACTACAACAGAACAACAGAAACCAACGACCTGATGTTGCTCCAGGTAAGGACTGTGACAGGTGATACAGACCTAATAATCCTTGAAGAATTCATGTTGCCACAGAGTTTTAAATTAAAATCATCTAAACCCGGCACATCATTTTAATTAACATATTTATGCATGATTAATGCAATCTTTTTTTGAGCTTTAAGGACTACTGTGTAATATTTAGGTGTATCTTTTAGCAGAATTTAGGCTTCATGTCTCTAAAACCAGTCAGGTTYGACAGCAGGAGCCGGGTTTTAAATTAGCAAGATGGGTGTCTTCGAAGAGCTGCACGTCTGAAAAAAATTAGCCAACATTTATTCCCATGTAATATGACTTTCCAACTTTATGTATGATTTTTAGTTTTACATTTTTTGCATTATACACACATAAATACAGTATTTTCTGAGTGCCTTTGTTTGAAGACCACCATTTGAGATTTTTAATTAAAACCGATCGGAGCAGAGCCATGTGCACTTACTTTCTTTCTTTCTTACCTCAACAGGGTAAACTATCTCCCTTGTTTAAATGGATTTACACAACTTTAGATGGTTTGGTCTTGTTTAGTTTTCTCTGTGCTGTATGTATTGTACGCTTATTATAAAATACACTACAGAAGGCGGAGTCCAACCTGACTCGAAGATCAAGCATATAATTTTGACCCGACCCCATCCAGATTTTGGGTCAAGCTTTAAATCTAAACTCAACACAAACAGGAGGAACGTCTCTATACACTTTATCATTTCAGAGAAGATTTAAAAATTTCATGCTTTAACTATGTTGTGATCTAATGATATAGTTTTATTTTGCAAGTACTCTAAGCCTCTCTATCCACCCTGTTCAATTTCAGCTCGAAAACCCAGTGCAGATAACCAAATGGGTCAACGTTCTCAAGCTGAATCCTTGTCCCACTGATCCAAAACATGGATCCGTCTGTCTGGTGGCTGGATGGGGAAGTACAAAATTTGAAATGAACGAGATGTCCAATGTTCTGATGTCTGTCAACGTGACTGTGGTCGGCAGAGAGAAGTGCAACTCTCCTGATTATTACAACAATAGAATCTACCCTAATATGATGTGTGCTGGTTCTAACGGCAATAACGTTGCAGATACCTGCCTGGTAAGTGGGACTTACAGACTATAGTTTTACCTTTAAACTAAATGATTGTCTAAAAGTAAGCAGGGTGTGTTTTATTTAAAGGCACAGTGTGTAGGATTTGTTGTTTTCAGTGACATCTAGTGGTTGAGTGGTTGAATCATCCTCCCTGGACC